TCGGGTTAGCCACCCCCATAACGCTAAGGACGCTAGGGGGCGCTACATTATGAAGAACTCAGACTTCGTGGAGTCAATTCTCTAGTATCTTGCTGTAAAAGTTAAACATGACATTTCTTTTTCAGTAAACTTGCAGTTGACCGAAACTTGAACTTTGACCAACTTAAACAACTTGCTCATTGAAGACAGAAAATCAGACAATGTATCATTAACCTGATTTCTACTTTGAATGAGGATTAAAATCACTAATACTGTTTCACAGCGGATTTAAAAATGATTAGTTCACTTCAACATTTAAAAATGGTTTGAACTAAACAATTTGATTATCAAAACATTTGTAAAATAGTAATGATAATAGAAAAAGAGAGTGTTCTTTCAATTGATCAGTGCAGGACACTTAGAAAGTCTTCTGGATGGACTTGATCTTGTGTTTCTGGACTCAAATCAATGAAATACAGTTCTTGTTCCAGGCAGGCCCCTCAAGGCCAGATTCGACCTGAGGCCTAGTTCACTACACGAGCCGGGGTAGAGCCAAAACCTTCCCGCTAGATCATCCGATCTGGGAGAGGGGAGGAGAGGGACAGAAAAAAAGTCCCTTCATGTCAGCTGCCTCCTGGATTATGCCGAGTGTCTGGGCTCTCCCTTAGAGACAGGGTGAGAAGCTCGATCATCCGGGAGGGACTCAGAGTAGAGCCACTGCTTCTCCACGTCGAGAGGAGCCAGTTGAGGTGGCTTGGGCATCTGTTTAGGATGCCTTCTGGACGCCTCCCTGGTGAGGTGTTCCGGACACGTCCCACCGGAAGGAGGCCCAGAGGAAGACCCAGGAAATGCTGGAGGGACTATGTTTCTCGGCTGGCCTGCGAACGCCTCGGGATTCCGCGGAAGAGCTGGCCCAAGTGGCTGGGGAGAGGGAAGTCTGGGCCTCCCTACTTAGGCTGCTACCCCTGCGATCCGACCCCGGATAAGCGGAAGAAAATGGATGGATGGATGGAGATCCTGTCTAACTCTGAATGCTAGGAAATGCCTTGTATCTGTGACTTTCCTTCCCTCCATTGATTATACCATACCATACCATACCAACTTTATTTATAAAGCACCTTAAAACAACCATAGCTGACACAAAGTGCTGTACATTAAAACACAACATAATAAAAATGAAAATAAAAACAGTTTAAAAACAGAAAACATACAATTTAAAACTAGATCCTGCTGGTGTTAAAAACATACATTTTAAAAGCATACAAACTTTAAAAACTAGATCCCGCTGGTGTTAAAAGCCAAGTAGAATAAATGAGTTTTAAGACGAACTTTAAAAATGGACAGTGAAGGGGACTCTCTGACCTGCAAAGGCAAGTCGTTCCATAACTTAGGGCCCATGACAGAGAAAGCCCTGTCCCCTCTGAGCTTCCTTCTTGTTCTTGGTACCTCCAAGAGCAGCTGATCTGCTGACCTGAGAGACCGATAGGGTATGTAGGGATGAAGAAGCTCAGAGAGGTAAGCCGGGGCAAGATTATGCAGTGATTTAAAAACAAACATGAGAATTTTAAAATGAATCCTAAAATATACAGGCAGCCAGTGAAGTGAAGCCAGGACAGGGGTCACATGTTCCCTCTTTCGAGTTCCTGTTAAAAGTCGTGCAGCAGCATTCTGAACCAGCTGCAGACGTGAGAGCAGCAACTGACTGACTCCCAGATAAAGTGCATTACAGTAATCCAATCGAGTCGAAATAAAAGCATGGATCACCATTTCAAAATGCTGCCTGGAAAGAAAAGACTTCACTGACGCCAATCGCCTTAAATGATAAAAGCTGGACTTAACCACGGCTTTGATTTGGCTGTCCAATTTAAAATCACTGTCCACCTTAAAACCAAGATCTGTAATAACAGGTTTAAAAAATTTCTCCAAGGGTCCCAGGTCAATAGAGGAGGACTCACAGGAGCCACTGGGTCCAAACACCATCACCTCGGTTTTGGTTTTGATTATGGTGACATTATTTACATGAATGCTCTTACAAGAACCCTGCAGATGTTGGATGCTGTTCATCATGGTGCACTAAGATTCATAACTGGCTGTGATTATCGTACCCATCATTGCACCCTATATTCATTGGTTAACTGGACATCATTAACTTCACGCAGACTCTCTCACTGGTACATTTTCATCTTTAAATCACTTTTTGGTCTGCTGCCTTCATACATCTCCTCCTACATGTCTCTGCGTGAGTGCAGCTACAGCGTATGCTATCAGGACATTATTACCTGCAGTGTTCCATCAGTGCGGACTGAACTTGGCAAAAGGGCCTTCTCCTACTCCACTCAAGTTCCTTGGAATATCTTACAAAAAGACCTGAAGCTCTCGACCTTGACCTCTCTAATGAACTAATGGGGAACTATGGGCACTATCGAGACAGAAATAAAGCAGTTCCACCGGAACAGGGCCTAAATAAGGCACAAAAGAGTCCTACAAGGACCGGACCTGTGGATAAGAAGCTTTAGTTAGTTGTGGCGACCCCTGAATAAGGGAGTAGACAAAAGGGGGAAAAAAAGTATATATTTATAATAATTAATCATTACACCTCTGTTTTACCCAATTTTAATTACAAACTCAATTTTAGTTCAATAACTTTAAAAGATATAATTGCAGGTTTTAAACAAGGATTGAGCATGTTGCACTTGTTGTTTGTGTTTTTAACATACCTGGTAATATTGAGCAACAGTTTGGCCACAATATTATTCATGGCATCAAAGGGCTTTTCTGCTCTGCTGAGCCCACCCTGTCCAGAAGTGACAGTGCTGTCTCTCTTGACCACTGAGCTTGGATTTCCTCCATGAGACATAAGATTTATGTTGTTCACAATGTCCATTAAAGACTGGAAAAGAAGTGATATAAAATAAACATTAAATCAAGGTTAAGTTGTCTAAAACAAACATGTTCAAGGGGAATACCACTTTTTTATAGACCTGGTTTTCAACAGGCAGGACACAGTCAGCGTGCTCTGTTAGTTCTCTCATGGCAAGGACGCTGTTATACGGAGATGTGACGACATCATCCTCCACCGACGGATACATGGACGTGACAATGCGACACACATCAGGGAACTCTTCTTCCAGTAGGCTGAGAACTCTTGTCCCCAGGCCCGAGCCAGTACCTTAAATGCACCATCAGCGTGACAGTCAGAATTCCAGTAGTAAAATAACTGTTCAAAATCTGGACTGACATAATTTAGTTCACACTATGAGAACTTAAAAACACTCTCCATTATTTTTTAAAAGGAAATATGTTTTCCACAGCTAGAAGTCAACATACTGTAAGAATTACAAGGATCTTGTAATATTACCTGTTTTTAAATCTGTGTAGTGTGTCATATTTTTAAAGTCTTGTTTACATCTCAACACCAGAGATCATAATAGTCAGCAGAAAGTTTGGTTCATACTTGGCTTTGTTTTGTTTCTTCATAAGCCTTCTTCACAAGAGGAGATTTTCTACTGAAGGTTTGCTCTCGTGACAGTATGAGGGAAGGGCTGATTAAGGGTTGGGTGGTGGCTAAATAGACAATGGGAAACATCCAGCCATCCATCCATTATCTTTACCCGCTTCTTCCTTTTTGGGTTGCAGGGGTCGCTGGTGCCCATGTCCAGCAGTCACTGTGCGAGAGGCAGGGTACACCCTGGACAGGTTGCAAGTCCATCACAGGGCCACATAGACAAACAAGACAAACAACCATTCACTCTTGTTAGAAATTTTATCTAGACTGACCCTGAATTTCTGATCTGCTCAGAGACGGGATTATAATGAAATTATAACCCGGTTCTGACTGGGTTAAACGGAGCTAGTAACTCTACAAAGAGTCTTGCAGGGATTGAATATCTCTCAAGACTGAGGAAGTCTTTCGGATGAAAGACAAAACCTTTCTACTTTTGTTGTTGTTGTTGTTTTGCTTTGTTTTGTTTTCTGAATGTCCAGAGGACCAGATTTAACCTTTTTAGAATTTTTTGACCTTGATTGTTGAGCATGCATCAGGATACCCTCAAGGAATAGTTTATTTTGCTGGCTACATCACGTAGAAAAGCTTTTGAAGCACTGTCTCATTTTTTTTTCCTTCATGTTAAACCAGGTAAGATCCCTTGAGATCACACTTAGTCACTCCCCCCATACACGTGACAGGTTGTGCTCCACTTCTGCGAAGGAGGAGTCTAGGGTCTATAAACATCCGACCCTTCCGGCTCCTGATCTCGTGTCGTGTACCGGACCAGCCAGCGCTATAAACTGTAACCTTTTCCTGCCTTGATTTTAATACAATTGGTAAAACTGAATCCACGTTTACTTGATTTATTGATAGTGTGAGTTGCCGCTTTTGAGGGAGGTCCGATCTGGGGGAACAGCGTGGGCTGGAGGCGGGTCCTGGGTCCGAGAGGAGGCCTGAGGCCCACGGCTAGCAACAGCTAGCTGAGTGACCTGTGACCCGAACCAGTCTTTGCAGTAATGTATTTTGGGGTTTAAAAGCCACTGGGACGTTATGTTTAGAAAATAAACATCTCAGTTTCTCTGATACTTCCACAACATATGGAATGACCACTGGTCTGGGTCTGGGTTCCTCCTTTTCACCTGATGGCTGGCTGGAGTCCTGTTAGGGTTTCTTCTCTGCTTTCAGGAAGGCCCAGTTAGGGTATCCACATTGCTCTAGAGCCTGTGTTGTGTGGGATTTCTCCTTCTGCCTGGCTCCTGAGTTAGTGGGGACGCTGTCTGCTCTGTGGTACAGAGTCCTGATGACTCCTAACTTGTGCTCCAAAGGGTGATGGGAGTCAAACTGCAAATACTGGTCTGTGTGGGTGAGTTTGCGGTACACCTCAGTTTGCAAATGTCCTCTATCAGAAACTGAGACCTCACAGTCCAAGAAAGCCAGCCTGACATTTTTTACATCTTCTCATGTGAACTTGATATATTTATCCACAGAGTTGATGTGATCAGTGAAATGTTGGACTTCTCAGGAACAATATTTCACTGATCACATCATCTCTGTGGATGAATATATCAAGTTCACAAATCAAACAAGAACAACACAAAACACAAGAAAACAAAAAGAGAAATTATTAATCACATCAGAACATGAAAATGGTTTGACATATACAGGTCCTTCTCAAAAAATTAGCATATTGTGATAAAGGTCATTATTTTCCATAATGTAATGATAAAAATGAAACTTTCATATATTTCAGATTCATTG